TGGGCAAAATCTGAAAGCCTTCACTTTAAAATCAGGAGTAAGATAAGGATGTCCACTGCTTCCACTGCTATTCAATATAGTTTTGGAAATATTAGCCAGAGCAATTAAACAAGGGAGAGAGAAATAAAAGGAATAAGGATTGGAAAAGAAATGAAACTACTATTATTTGCAGATGACATGATACTTTACATAGAGGACCCAAAAATTCCACCAAGAGACTTGCAGATTTAATCACCAAATTCAGTATCATAGCATTTTTGGGTAAGGTCAACACTCAAAAATCAGTACTATTTTCATATACAAATAATGAATGCACTGAGAGAGAACTTAGGGAAAGCACACCTTTCACAATAACATGCACAAAAATGAAATACTTAAGAATCAATCTCACAAAAGAAGTAAAAGATTTATATAGTGAAAATTACAGTACTCTGAGAAAAGATACTTAAGAGAATTTGAGAAAATGGAAAGCTATTCCATGCTCTTGGATAGAAAGAAACAACATTGTGAAAATAGACATATTCCCAAAATTGGTATATGGATTCAATATATTCTTGATACCTCACAGAGCTGAAAAACTTTTCTCAAATTCATTTTGAACCATAAGAGACCCAGAATATCAAAAGCAATACTGGGAAACAAAGGCAAGGCAGGAGATATCACAATCTCTACATGAAATTATAATATAAAGTTACTATGATAAAAACAGCATGGTACTAACATAGACATAGGCCTGAGGATCAGTGGAATAGAATAGAAGATGCAGACACAACTACAAACACACTCAGCCACATTATCTTTGATAAAGGGGCAAGACATGCTCATTGGAAGAAACATATCCTCTTTAATAAATGGTGCTGAAACAACTGGCTTTCCACATGCCAAAGGTTAAAATTAGACCCATGTCTATCACTTTGCACTAAACTACAATCAAAATGAATCAAAGATTTAAACATTGAAATAGAAACACTAAAACTTTTGGAGGAAAATATAGGTAAAACCTTAAAGACATAGGGATTGGTAGAGAGCTCATGGACAAAAGCCAAATTGCATGGGAAATACTTCAAAGAATCAACAACTGTGAGCAAATCTTTTTGAAAAGTTTATGTACCTCCAAGAAAATCTCCAGCAGAATAAAAAGAAAACCAAAAAAACTGGGAAAAATTATAGCCAACTCTCCCTCTGATAAAGGCCTTCTACCTAGAACATACAAAGAACAAAATCAGACCCCCCCCACTTCAAATGGGTATCTAAAATTTATACATATTTTTCAGATGAAGAAATACAAATGGCAAGTAAAAATATGAAAAAAATATTCAACATCACTGATCATTCAAGAAATGGAAATTAAAACAACACTGAGATTCTATCTCACCCCAGAAAGAATGGCTATCATTATGAAGTCAGCCAATAACAAATGGTTGAGGGCTGTGGGTAAAAAGGAACCCTTCTCCACTGCTAGTGGAGTGCAGACTGGTACAACAACTATGGAAATCAGTGTGGAGATAACTTAAAAAGCCAGGATTAGAGGTCCCATTCAACCCAGATATTCCCCTCTTGGGCCTTTTTCCAGAAGAACTGAAAACATACCATAGTGATATACATATACCTTTGTTTATAGCAGTATAATTTGTCATAATTAAATCTTGGAACCACCCAAATGCCCATCATCTGTGCAACA